ATGTGACAAACCCAGACCTACTGGGATCTATCACACAGTTACTAAGCTGCCACCAACCATTCCCTATAATAAGTCACACAGACCAGGGATGGATTTTTAAACAACAAAAGAATAAGGTTTATTTTAAATACAAACAGGGTAAATAAAACAATCAGGTGAATAAAATAAAGTAACGTGGCTTATTCTCACACACACAAGCATACAGTTTGGTTCACCTAGAACCTTTAACTTGAAGCACAGACCCTGAACCCATCAGTTCTGGCTAACCAACAGACCCCTGAACCTTTCAGGCTGGTACTCTGACACACAGTAGTACCCTGTCAGACACCCAGACTCCCACAACAGCTTCTTCTTCCCCAGCTGCTGCTTCGTCCCAACCCAGTGTCTCACAGTCTGTCACAGCATCTCCCTTCACCACACAGGCATCACATATTTATACAGTACAGCCCCTCCTCCTGATGTCCCGCCTTCCACTCCCCATAGGATGGAACTTTCCCTCCAAACCCATGACAGACAGGTAACATCAGTGCTGTATGTATGAAACTGGGAGGTTGGTACACCACACCTCGGGTTCCTTTTCAAATTCAGTCTCTGGAATACTGAAGCCTTTCAAGACAATTCAAAGTTCGGACCACTCACCAACTCTTCCGGGCTTGGTCCTTGGACATCCAAATTCTTTTGCTGCAGAACCACAAAAGAAGGCACGTGTTTTACAAAGCAAGCCAGAAGAACGCCACCTACAACCACACTTTCAGTGCAGAACTTTGCCTTTTTTTAAGAGAACAGCTTCCAGAATTGGCCACCCAGCACTGACCACCAGCCGTGAAAGCAAAGAAAGGTATTTTGCCCAAGGCTACCCAGGCTGGCTCTTCTCCTGGGAGAGACGGTAGAGAATCGAACTCCCAACCCTTAGCTGTGCAGCCTAGTGCTCAGCTCCCGGAACAATCTGAAAACAGCTTGAGGCCAAGTCTTCGTAATCAAAACCGCCCTGGAAGTTTTAAAGACCATCTCAACCATTAAAAAGGGAATGTTCGGCCTCTCATAACCATGAGCCTCAAAGGGACCTTGTTCTCAGCCTCCTGAAAACCACCTGGTTTCTCTCCTGCTTGAGGCTTCCTGGAGTTGGAGATGCCGCCGGTGCCGCCTGGGCTTGTTCGGCCTCCTTCAGCCAGTCCTTCATCCTTAGTCGGTAGATCTCCAACCAAACTTCTGAGTTGCCTGCATGGGGAGACCAGGAGAGAACCAAGCATGAAGCAACCAAGTTAGTGAATCAGACAACCAACCTCTGTGGATTTTTAATTCCGTTGCTGTATCGTCTCTTCTAGGGACGTGGGTAGCGCTGCGGGTTAAACCGCAGAAGCCTCTGGGCTGCAAGGTCAGAAGACCAGCCGTCGTAAGATTGAATCCACGTGACGGAGTGAGCTCCCGTTGCTTGTCCCAGCTCCTGCCAAACTAGCAGTTCGAAAGCATGAGTAGATAAATAGGCACCACCACAGTGGAAAGGTGACACCATTCCGTGTCTAAGTCGCATGGGCCACGTGACCACGGAAACTGTCTACAAACAGAACGCTGGCTCTATGGCTTGGAGACGGGGATGAGCACCACCCCCTAGAGTCACACACGACTGGACTAAATGTCAAGGGGAACCTTTACCTTTTACCTACTGCTATTATACAAGTGGGCAATGTGTCTGGATCCTAGCAGACTACAATGCCCCCCCTCCATCCTTCTACACTGGCTGTCTAACGGAGAGGTCTAACGGAGAGGGCAGCCCACTCACCAGGATGACTCATAGGTACCAGGAGTCACAATTAGAGAGAGAAGCACAAACCAAATTATGAACCGGGGGAACAAAAAACCAGCCCAGTTCGAGGTTCCATTGGCATAACCCATTCTGAAGAAATGAAATGCCAGACCTTTTTTCCCCCTGATTGGCACTTTGTTTTGCTTCGGCAAAATGGATGCCTGCCCAACCCCTTCCGGGAGCTAGGCTGTCTATCTCAGCACATGCGCATGTGCATCGGCTGATAGGCCCGCCCATGCGCAGAAATAGCAAGTCCAGTGGCGAAGGCAGTCTGCTTATCATGTCCCCCGCCACTTGGAGATTTCTAATCCGGATGATCAACCCGTGAGGAGGATTTCGTGGCTGTTTTTCACTCTTTCCCGGGAGTGAAATGTGACATTTCCAAGTAAACATGACAGAAAAAGAACTCCACAGCACATGGGTTTTGGAAATAAATTCCAGTGGAATCAGTGGCCTTTACTTGCAATTAAGATGAAGGCAGGGGAAACTTGACCACCCACTTGTTACTAAATGACAGCTCCCATCAGCCCCTAGCAAAGAAGGATGGGCGTCCAACAAAATCTGGAAAGCCGCACCAGTTCCTGTGATTAGACAGGGCAAACTTAACACGGTCCTGACGAGGCAGGGCATGGATCCTCCTAGATTTAGATAAACGAAGTGACTTTTAGCTCCTGCGGCATCCAAACGAGTGCCCACACAATGGAGCGGACAACGGGGGTTTGCAAAAAAGAGCAAACCTTTGGATACCTGGCCGTTTCAATCAACAGACAAACTCACCACTTCGTTTATGGTTTTGACATGCAAAAGGTTCTCCTTGAGAAAATAAAACAGGTGGGCCACACCTGGAACAGAGAAAGAAAGCGGTCACGGTCAACAGAGAGCTTGTTTTCCTTCCCATTAGAGGTCTTCTTTCCCCGAAATGGTTCGTGCCAATTCTGACCTATCAGGTCCCTTCCAGCTCTGCAGTTCGAAGATCATTAAATATTATTTAATGGCACCACTTGGGGGGGTCAGCAACTAGGTAAACCTAAACCAGCTCCTTCTCTCTACTTCATTTCCCTTTCCATGAAATGGAAGAAGGTGGAATATTGTGGGAAACGTCTTAACTGTTAGAGCAGTACGACAACGGAACTCGTGACCTCGGGAGGTGGAGAGCCTTCCAACGCTGGAGGCGTTCAAGAGAAAATAAGACAACCTTGTGTCAAATCTGCTTTGATTTGGATTCCTGCCTCAAGGATCCTTATCTTCCAACTCCGTTATTCTATTCAATGAGGGAGATCTGTTTCCGGTTGGGAGGAGTCCCCCCAAAAAAGACGTTAGCAAGGGCTTTGCAGAACTTACCCAGTTCATCCACCGTCCCAAGGAGATGAGAACCGCCACCAAGTTCAAAAACCTGGATGGTGCAAATCTCAAGCTTGGCTGCCTCCCACGCGCAAAGCTTCTCGCCCGTAGCTATGCTGAAGACGCAAAGGCCGGTCGAAAGCCCAGCAAATATGTATCCACCGCTGGCGGCTAAGCAGTTGGCTCTTCCCAATATCTGGGGGGGGCGTTAAAAATGCAAAGACTTGAGTGTTCCCTTCAGCAATTTGATCATACAAGGCTTAACCTCATCACCATCATCATTTACTTAATTGCAAAGTAAGACAATATTGCAAATGGACACTATCAAGTTTTATTTCAGCTCTTCTACACCACTAGCGATTTGTTACGGAGACGTTACTCGGGGGGTCTACATATCCTTGCTTGGTTGGGTATAACTTTAACTCTAACTTTTTTGTTTTAATCTGAAGCCAATTTTTCTTTTTAATCCTCGCAGGTTACCTCCTTCGTTATTGGGGGAAAGATAGAATGATTAGCAAAAAGTTCGTTGTAATGAGTTACCGAGGATCGTACTCTCAGATCTTGGAAATTCAACCTACTCCTTACAAACACCGAAATGTGGCTCACCTGGGAGAAAACTTTGAAGCGTAGCTAGGCCTAACTCAGCCCAAGCTTCCTGTTCCTGCCCCAGTGCTTGCTGGGAGCTTCCTTTCTGAACAGGAAGCCCGGGTGAGCTAGGCCTAGCTAAGCTCCAGAGTCTTCCAGGCCATTCTCCCAGGTGAGTCACCAGACATTTAGGTGCTCGCCCATCAGATGGAACCTCTGGAGTGGAGCATCATGGGATCTGTAGTCCAAGGTCATTTCAACCCATGTTTCAGATAAACATCCATCCATCTTCTCTTGTCTTTGATGGAAGCCATTCCAAAGAAACGGCACCTTTTCTCCACCCAAAGACTAATTTGTCTCAGGGAGTCCCCTGACTACCTGGAATTCGGCTGAAGGCTTGTACTGCGTGGGCGCAAGGTTTTGTTGCTTCGGCGCCTGCAGCCGCCGGGTC